CATATTCTTTTCCTCTGAGTGAGGATATGTTCCATTTTCCGACTTTAAGCTCCCACTGGTGGTGTCGTTTTCGTGGAGCTTTTTCTGACGTGCTGTACTGGCATCGCGCTGTCTGCCTCCTCCGTTCAGAACGGGCAGCGACTCCGTTGCTGACTATTATCTTCGTCGTCGTTGCGTCGGTCTTCGTCAGCCGTCGTTGCGCTGCCACGCCCCCGGCTGGCAGAGGGCAATGAGGAGGTTCTGATCGCCGACTTTTCGCAGTCTGCCTCATCCGCCAACAGCCTGTGCGGCCCTTGGTAACCCGGGCGACGACCGGGTATAATTATCGATGGCGTCAATACCATTAGTGGCAGGTGGCTGAATTTTACGTAGACTTGCCACGGTCTCCAATCGTCCTCCTTTCTCATCCGGGCTTGGGACCGACAATGGTGGAGTTAATCTTTCGAGAATCTTTTGTTATTTAAATGATGATGTAAGTTGAAGTTTAAATATTAGCCCGTCTTAGTTTGACGATAAACTTTGGTTTTCAAGTCAAGTTTACTTCTGTCTTAGACATCTTCTGTCACTTTTCATCGGTTCGATGCCGTGTGTTCTGCAAAATAAACAAAATATCGCATCTCAATAAAATGGAAGTTACACACGTAGCTAAGTGTTAGTGAAATTAAATTTGGTGCGAAATTCTTCCAATTCTTTCTTTTTATAGCAGTTAATTCAGTTAATTATTAACACGTCAAGGAAAGATAGACTAGAGTTGAACATTCCCCAACAATAAAATTTCACGCGTAGCATTAAAGAAAGAAACAAATGAAGGGGCTTCAATTATCCAATCCTGCGAAAATGCCAACAGGGATAAAGGATGCGAACTTTCAACAGACTGGACAAACCTGTTACCGAAAAACTGCATGAACAGTTGTGTGGGTCAGAGACACACCTTTTAGCTCAAAACGTGACAGTAGCTGCGAACCACAGAGCGAACTGCCGAAATCAACCCAGACTATCCTGAAAAAGGTCCGTAAGAGACGAGCCGAAACGTCGGTACTGTTCAGTCAGTTGATTAATCAGTTTGCTTGCATCGCTTATGAAAGAACATCGTTTTTGTTCAT